GGACCCTTTGGCCCGGAGGTGAGATTAGTCTGGTGGGGCTGATAAAGCTCCGCGTTCTCCCAACAGACAATCAGTCAGGCTTATGCTCCTGGAGAGAGACGGTTTTCCACACAAAGCAGGTGGGGAGAGATGCTTTGGTGAGCGAAAACATACCAATTTAGGTTTGCTGTCGTCACAGTCAAACAATAGATTCTCTCTGCCCAGAAAAGCAGGTGCAGCAGTCAGCGGCTGGTCGCGTCTTCAACCAGCACGTCGTTTGGCTTCGCTGCAAACGTGTCTCTCAGTTTTGTCCTTCTAACCTTTAGACAGATGTTCAGAGTGACATATTTGAAATGGGCCGAGCTTTATGAGGTGCTGAGTAATGAGTTCATAAACAGAGGAAGCTTCTCCGCCTCTTCATCCAGATCTGCCCCCTCCCGATGTGCTTTCATCATCCCTCCATGTCCCGCAGCACTAAACTCCCAGACCCGGTCCCAGCCAGGACAGAAAGAGACCAGGGTTACATCCAGGCTAACATTTGTCGTCTAACACAACATCGTAAAAGGAAAACCGTCCAGATGAGCATTTTACTTCAGTTGTAGAAAATACTGAGGAAAAAGAACAGCAGTGGTGAAAAGTTAGGCTGAGAGTTTCCTGAACGACACAACAGAGTTAACCAGGTCATCCACCTCCTGATTGATTATCCACATGGCGCTGACTACTGGGAGTCAAGGCTGATGTCATAAGATACTGGTGACGAACATGCAGGCCTCCAACCAGAACGTGAACGTGGGTGTCATAGTTTTAGATGTTCCAAATACAATGAGGTCAGCAGCGTTTCCAGAAGTCTCCACTTTAGGTGTCCTGAAACCCCAAGGTGTTGTTGGTGTGAAAGTAGATGAGAACATATTAGCCTACGAGTCTACAGCCACTCCAGGGTGTGTTTGAGGTCGACCCAGTGGTGTTTGGAGATGTTTGATAAGAAACCAAAGTACTGGGTAATCTGTGGACCCGGTGATGACACCAGACGAGAGGTCAGGGGATGTCCAAAGTTTCTTTAAGGTCGCTATGGAGGGCTTCTGTACCACATTTACCAATACTTGACATCATGTCGGTAAAAATGTTTGATTGGCACCAGACAGAAAGTGTGTGGATCACCAAGTCAGCAGACTTGTGGGAGACATGAACCCAAACTGAAATCCATCCTGTTGTTGTCAGGAGAAGCAGGAGGTGAACCAGAGTCATTAGATTTCATCGTCTTGGTACCACGAACGTCTGCACCAAATTCCACAGTAATCCATACAGGATTTGTTGAGATGTTTTGGTCTGGACCAAAGCGGTGGACTAACGGATCATCCATCAGACTGACATGGTGCTACTGGTGTGGCTAAGAAGGCACAGATAAGGAATTAGGAAACTTCTGGACACATAGGCACCAAAATATTCTGTTTTTGTTCCTGTCTTTGTTTCTTCGAGTTTCCGTTGTAACAGAAAGCTGCGTCGCTTTCTTAGAAAAACCTTCACTTAAGAATCTCCGGTAGACATCTGTCACATCTATTTTTCTATTGTTTTCAAGCGTTCTTGAATAAATGTTCTCAGATCTGTTGTCAATTACTTCTGAAGATGTGGAGTCAGAGTTCTCAGCTTTGTCCTGAAGTTGTCACCTATCAGTCTTCACTCCCCTTCATCTCCCTTTGCTCTCTTCCTTTGTTCCGCCAACTCCGAGCTCTGTTTTCCTCTGTTTGTTTTGTTCTCTGATTCTTATTCGTCTCCTGCTCATTTCCATTACTCACAGGAGGGGAAAAAAAAGGAAAAAGTTGCCTTTAGGCAGGGTTGCAACCAAGAGAGGGTGCTTCTCCCGTAAGTGCTTTTTCATGTTGTCGGCTGCTTGTCTGCCATAGTTTCTGTCTGCTCGACCAAAGCTGCGTTTGACGGCTACACACAGCATTTGACTGTGAGCTGAGAAATTTCAAACGCAGCTAAATTAAGACGCACTCTGTCACGCTGCCAGAATTTCTGTTCCAACATCGGCGTTTTTCTGCCCCGCCGCTACGTATGCGTCGTCCATCAGAAGCCATAACAAGTAATACCTCGCAGACGAGACACAAGGTCGACTCTGAGCTGGTAGCCTCTCGATCAATACGCTCCGACGTTTCAGAGGCTCTGCCAGCTTTTCTCCCACTGAAGCTTTCAGCTCTTGTTGTTTTCTTGCCCCGGCTTTTTGCTGTTTTTTTTCCCCCCCTCGTACGTCACAGCACCACTCAGTTTTCCTTCTAAACTGTCCTTCAGCTAAACAAAAAAATGCCAACTGATGACTTGGAAAGTTAAGAGAGGAAAAGTCTGAATTGTTTGCCGCAGCTGCAGATTAACCCTGAAGTGTTTGGATTATGGATTATAATGCTGTTTGGGTTCGAGGATGCACTTGAGAACGACAACACAAAGGGCAAAGCAATAACGCCCGTGTGAAGGGTTGCGCCCCATTGTGAGTGGCTTAGAGGACAGACCGGGAGGGGTTTTATCTCCGGAATCAGGAAATTGAATTATGAAGCAAAGTGAGCCAATGAAAGGGGCTGCGGTGACAGTACGGCGCTGCGGGGGTTAAGCCTGTTTGAAGGGCTGGCACTTCACCTAAAGGTTTCTTAATTAGATTGGTTGACAAAAGCATTGGGGTTGTGTGTGTACGTGAAAGAGGCTCTGAAGTGGTTGTCGGTCGTCGTTTTGGCCTCTTTGTGATGCTGAAGCGAGGCTTGATTGAGACGTAACAGCTGAGTCAACGTTTAAGACGATCCTCTTGGTTTTTGTGAATAATGTGCATAAATAAGCCGCGTTGCAGCCAAAAGCCTCCACATTGCATCACCCCGGGTTACACTCAGTGGCAGTTTTTCACATTTATGCATCCTAGAGCATCTGCACACGGCGACTACGCAGCAGTCAGGGATCGGGAACGCTTGTGGTCGGATGCTTTACGCCTCGGTACAGAAAGGACAGCACTGCTTTCGCCACTGACCATGAAGTTTGGAAGCAAAACCCGAGCCTCAGGATCGTCCAATATAGACGTAAGCCATAGAATAGCAGACTTACATAAGCCACATCACCGCTATTTATTTGGAATTTCAATTTCAAAGATCCAAACATTGGATGGTCTTGGTTTTTTTTTCCACCATCTGTGTTGTATTTCTACTCATAAAGGGGATCACAGGCCCTAGTACCTGGAGGAACGTTTTCTTGGGCTGTCTCCCTGAGAAACCCAAAGAAAAAGAAAAGCTTTACTGACAGAGGTGTTGGATTGTGCTGATTCTGTTAAGTGGACGGCAGCATTCCAGTCAAATCATGGCCACTACCTGAACTTTCAACATGACTTAGCTCGCTTTGGTCGGCCAAGTCCAGCAGACAGCCAGATTTTCCTGCTGCTCCCCGTCTGGGTTTTTCTTTTCGTCTCACTTTGTCCTCGTCTGTCCTTCTTTTAATTTCTGTCCATTTGTTTTCCGTCTTGCTTGCATCACAACTTTTGGTTTTTAGCTTTGTTGAGCCACTACTTTGACTGAAATATCTCTACATTGAACAAAGTAAAGACATTCATGGTCCCCAGAGGATGACTCTCGGCGATTCTGACGTTCACTTTTAGCGCCACCGCGAAGTTTACAGATTGTGTTTCAGGGTTAAACATCTTGACAGCTATTGTATGGATTGCTTTTAAACTCGCTACAGATTTTCAAGCTCCCTTGAGGATAAATTAAAATGACTTTGAGTAAAACAGATTTACATCCTCAGGACAAATTGGCATAAAAAGGTTTTATGTTTCCCAGACAAGACTATTTGTCAAACTCGCTGCCAAGGTTAAGAATGACCCTCCGTACTTTCTCAAGTTTATTTATGTTTTGTTTTTTTTATTCAAATACCGCGCCAAGTTGTCAAAATCTACAAAAATTTTAAAAAGTGTTTTCAGCTCGGGGCAAATTGATCAATCTCAGCTCCGCTAATCTTCTGCGTTCCCCTTAAAGCTTTGCCAACAATCTGCAAAGGAGGCATGCTTTCCCTCCGAGGCCGATAACCATCTCGCAGTGCAAACCACGGAGCTTTAATGCATGCATGCCTCGTGCTGGTGGCGTCTCAGGAAATGTGTAAAACACCATTTGGCTCAGCGTTTACACGAGCTTCATTTCTAAAACCGTCCTTTCATTCCCCTCCCTCTGCTCCCCTCTGCTTATCAAAGACTCGGGACAATCAGCGGTTTATCGCTGCTGGAAATGAGTGCAGGAAGCAGATGTTGTTCTGATTAAACACACACACACACACACATTCACGCACCTCGCCAAGCGCTCGCCGCTGCCTCGAGGCCCGAGAGGAGCCGAGGGCCAAGTCTCCGAGTCCGGAGTCATGATATCTGCTGAACATGTGCTGCTGAGGGGACAAACCGCCAGAAGTCGGGCCGTTTTTTTTTATCATTCTGAGTGTAAGTAATTTAAATAGAAAGCAAAGACGACGCCAAGAAAGTGCTTCATGTGCTTCACCGGCCAGTTCCTCCTGTTACGTAACCCCTCCATTACATACAATCATATAATGCAGTAATCAATGCCTGATAGTCGGGTAATCGGATCTCCTGCGCAGACGTAATGACAGCGGCAACAGATGATGACCTTTTCCTAACCGTGTGTGTGTGTGTGTGTGTGTGTGTGTGTGTGTGTGTGTGTGTGTG